TGGTGGCATTTTCTTAGGCTCTGGTTTTCTTCTTGCTTGGTTGGTTGGGAAGCTCTCTACCTTCCGAAGGAGGGGTGCAGCAGACAGCTGGGGGCCTTTCTGGCACCCGTTGTTTCTTCTCACGTGGGACAGGTGACTGCACTGCGCTCCCAGGACAGGAAATGGGAAGGTGGCTCGGCACCCCGGTGGCAGACACTCTGGGGGCCTCCACCTTGAGGAAGCGTTGGCTCCTGTGAGCCAGTGGGTAGAACGCCCTCACATCCATCGGGTCCATGCTCGTTTCTGCTGGTGTCGCCTGGTCTCCCGGCCGAGGCGTCTCTCAAGTGTCTCTTCTGTCAGAGCTTCTTCTGTCCCAGGTCCATTCTGTGCGTTCTCACGTGGAGAAGTCATGACGCACAGCCTCACGCGAGGACTCCTGGCAGCGGCGCACCTCTGCGATTGTGTGGGACCCCCCGCATGGGGATGGCCTCCCGTCCCACAGTCATTCAGTCACTGGTCACGTCAGTGTGGACTCCTCCGTGTGTCTGTGCTGTGGTTGTCTGTCCTCTTGCTGTAGGAGTTTAAACATCTCGAGGATCAGCGACACTTAGGAGAGTGAGAACCAGGGTTCACTAACTGTTGTTGCATAAAATTTCAGTGATCTTAAAGATGCATCTAAGGATGAATAGCACCGTCCTGTCGAAAACAATGGAACCTCACAGAACCGTGGGGGCTGCAGTTGTGACTGCTGCTCATTTCTTCAGTTAGCATCAGCTTTTCCAGAAAGTTGGATTTCTGGTCCTTTCATCTGTGCTTTACTTTGGCAGTAATCCTAAAGGGCTGCTTTGTTGCTATTAAGGGTGGCTGTACAACTGTCCTTGTCTCTTCCTCACCTTCCTGGCCCCCCAAAAAGAAGAAAGGATTATCTCTAGAAACTTGGACTGGAGGTCGGGGAGGCGCAGGGGGTCCCTTCCTGCAGAGGAAGCCGCCTCTGGCACTTTCCTCTGAGAGAGGGGACAGGGTATCGACTTTAAAGAATGCTGGGAGCAGATGCCAGCGGCCGCAGGAGATGCTCAGGGGACAGGGCCAGTGCCACGGGACATTCTGCGTGGCCGCTCCATTCCTACTATCAAGGATGGAAACCTCATTATGGCTCCAGGCCTTAAACACAATGACGTTCTGTGAGGACCCGCAGCGCTGTTTCCACCGCTGTCCCCACCCTGGTCCAAAGCCCGGGTAGATTTTACCAGGGGTAGATAGATTTGAGGCATAAAAATGAATTCCTGCCTCCAGGACACACTCTAAAACATTCTGTTTTAGAGGTTCTGGGGAGTAGAATGGTGCTGTTTCCATTCTGCGGTAGTGGCGGTCTTGCATACCCAGTGCCACGGGAGCCCGGTCCCCACGTGGCGAGGGAGGAGGGCGGAGCTGTCCCCTGCACTTGATAGGCAAGCCCTTGTACCCTTGGCCAAGGGGTGCGGTCACAAATGTCCACTAGTCCCAGAGCCCCTCTCCTGGGACACAGCTGTGGGAGGGGCTGGTGGTCTTCGCTCTTGCACAGTGGTACCAAGACGTGGCCTTGCTGGTGCCGTGGTGGGTCCCACGTCCTGCCGCCTGGATGATGCCCCACACCCCGTGGTCCTGTGACACTGTTCAGCAGAGGTGGAGGTGGGCCTGCTGACAGCTTGGGCACGCTGAGGCCGCTGCCTCGGTTCCTGGGGCATTTTCATCCTGAGCTGCTTCTGTTTGGCTGTCACCACGTGACAGGGACTTCAGTGTGGGTGACGTGATCAGCCACAGACATGGATCAGGAATTGGTGTGGCTGAGAAGAACACGCTGTATTGCGAATTCCCGTCTCCCTGCTTCCTGAGCGGCCCTTCCAGGAGCTCTCCATATCAGGCAACAAAGTGGGAGAACTCTAGTGAGTTCACAGCCAAGGCAGCGTCATTTAACACATATCTGTCCATGAAGCCTTTTACAAAGTGAAAAGTGGATGTACTTTTTCAGTCAGAGGCTCTGTAAGAATAGGAGCCTCGTGTGGAAGTTGCTGGGGTAGAACGAGCAGAGGGGCCGTGGACGACACTGCTTTGTGTGGAGGGCAGCTCTTCCCCTGGGAGGCCGCGGGAGGTCACTGCTGCTTCCACCTGCCCACTTGGGACCAAGGCCTAGAGGGAGTGGCTGCTGGGACTTTCTCTTGGCTGATGGCTCTTCCCCTGGGAGGCCGGCGGCTCTCAGGGCTCCTGCCTTCTCGGGCCTCTCCTTCCTTCACACGGACACACGCCCCCCACGGCTGGGAGGGCCCTGTCCAACAGTGCCAACACAGACCATTTGGGAGCAAAATCGGGGTCTCTCAAACAAGGAAGGACTTGAGCTTCTTTAAAGAGGAAAATAGTAGTTCCCCAAATAGCTCCATGGGTGGCCATCTCTTCTAGAATAAGTTTCAGCTACTAAAAAAACATAATATAAGCTATAAAAGTAGTGAAAACATTTAGTTTTTCATATCATTAGGTACAACCTCCTATATATTAGGCAGCCTTGAAATTCAAAACTCAAAACAGGGGACGTTACAAAAGAACGTATTTTCAAACACCCTCAGCAGAGATGACAGCGATAGCACCACAGGCTGTCCCTGTTTCCCACGGGGACGCTGTGTCCATGGGGCCCAGGCTGTGGGCAGGAGCCTTCAGTCTCCTCCCATCTGGGCTGATGAAAAACGTGAAATATTCATCCCTCATGAGTGTGTAAAAATCAGCCCCTTTTCCTGTCTGCAGTCAACAAGATTATTTATTGGGAGAATTTACCACGTAAACTTATTTCTTGCATTAGCCGGTGCATACACTGGCTGTTTTAGAGGTTTTATTATGGAAACTTAGAAACCTGTTCAGAAGTACAGAGTGTACAGTTGTGTGTCACTTAATATCACTTAATGACAGGGACACATTCTGAGAAATGCGTCACTGGTTGATTGCATCGTTGTGCGAACATCATGGCGTGCACTTACACAAACCTGGACAGTGCAGCCTGCTACACGCCTGGGCTCTATGAGGCTACTCTTCTGGGACTGCTGCCGTCTGTGTGGTCCTCGTTCACCAGAACGTCCTGGTATGGCCGTGACATCACTGCAGAGAGCCCCGTGCACACTTATTCATGTGCTCTCTCCCTCCCAACTTCTCTTTTCTGGAGTGCAGAGCAGATCCCAGACATTGTGTTATTTTGTTACCTGCATAGTCTGTGTCTCTGATGGCCCAGGCCGCCAGCACACCCGACTCTTAGCGAGCGGCGTTTGGCACTCAGTCCCTCCCCATGCCCCCGTGTCACACAGGCCGCGTCCGGACTTCACTGAGCAAGATCACGCACGTGCTCAGAGCAGGTGGCCGCAGCCCTGGAACTGTGCCCACGCTCTGGGCGTTGCTCTGCCCCGGGTGCTGCCTCTCCTCACTGAGGGCTCAAAGCAGATCGCAGGCTCCGTATCCTTCCATTCACATTCATACCTATTTCATTAAACCACCATTTTTTTCCTAACATTTTTACTGAGGTATGGTTTTTTTTTTTTTTTGTGAGGAAGATCAGCCCTGAGCTAACATCCATGCTAATCCTCCTCTTTTTGCTGAGGAAGACCAGCCCTGAGCTAACATCTATTGCCAATCCTCCTCCTTTTTTTCCCCAAAGCCCCAGTAGATAGTTGTATGTCATAGTTGCACATCCTTCTAGTTGCTGTATGTGGGACGCAGCCTAAGTATGGCCAGAGAAGCGGTGCGTTGGTGCACGCCCGGGATCCGAACCCGGGCCGCCAGCAGCAGAGCGCACGCACTTAACCACTAAGCCACGGGGCCGGCCCAGAGGTATACTTTACATACCATAAAATTTAACCATGCGAAGTGTAGAGGTCCGTGGTTTCATATGTTCACAGGGTTCTGCAACCATCCCCACTGTCTAAGTTGAAAACATTTCATCACCCCCAAAAGAAACCCGTACCCCTTAGCCTCACACACCCCTGCGCCCCAGCCTGGCACCCACTCCTCGGCTTCCTGTCTCTGTGGATTCTCCTCTTCTGGACGTTTCCTAGAAATGGAGTCCCTCACCCAGCCTGAGGCTTCTGGGGTTCATGCAGGCTGTGGCGAGTCAGGGCTCGTTTCTGGTTACTCCTCAGTGACAGGTGGCAGTCTGGGTTCCAGGTGGCTGTGGTCATTTTGTCCCTGAGTCCAGGTGGTGGATCTGGTGGTGAACGGGATGGGTGAGGAGCAGTTGTCCAAGGCTGCATGCCCTCCCACCCCGGGTAGCTCCGTTTTGTTGTAGGGACTACATTCTATGATTTGGGTCCCTGAACATGTCTGTGCTGACTCTTCCTGTGCCAAGGGCGTGAAGTGAATCAGCACGTGGTGGAAGCCCCCACGCGGTGGCGAGGACCCCGATGTTCTAATAGGATCCACAGGGAAGACAGACCTCTCCCAGACCCTTCGCCCTGCAGACAAACCACCAAATTCCTTTTATTTAGAGTCTCTTTGCTAATAATCGGTGCTCAGGATAATGGAGTATCCTTTAAACTTGCAGGTTCTAGGGTAGGACATTTTTATGGTGTTTGATGGAAATTATTTTCTGTAGGAAAACCAAGTATTACGTTTACTTTTTCCCAAAATATTTTTTGATTGGCCTGTTGTGGGCGTAGCCCTGTGCTGGCTGTGTGGGGTGAGCAGCCTGCTGGACCTCAGGGCTCCACCCCTCCACTCAGAGCACCTGGGGACGGGTGTCCCCTCCACCCGCACCTCCACTCAGGGCGCCTGGGGACGGGTGTCCCCTCCACCCGCACCTCAGGGCACCCGAGTATGGGTGTCCCCCCACCTCTCACCTCATTTAATGCCCATAAGCTCTGTGCCCTGACCCCACACTGTCCTGGCATCACTGGGGTGGCTTTATTAGTGGGATAACGCTATTTAAGATTGAATTCTAACACTTTAATCTTAAAAGTTTTTGTACAGAGGAAACCAAAATTTTTATATGTTTTTCTCCTTTTGTTTTTCAGGTATTCATTTGGTAAGTGAAAATCATTAGGAAAAGCTCTGCAAGAGTTTAGCATTTCGTGTCGGGGTATGTATCTACATTTTCCTGCTTTCTCGTGGCTGAGCGTCTGTCATCAGCTCTGCAGGTTTCCCTGTTTTGTTCTGACACCGTGTTTGTTGTTTAACCTGGAATCCTAACCCAGCTGGCTTCCCCGCTCAGAGCAATGGACTCAGGCAGATGTGGGCCCACGTGATCCCAGGTCCGTTGTGTGTAGAAACCAGTCTCCATGTGACTGGGCGGAGCAGTCCCACAGCAGTGACGGTTCCATCGCATTGTCACAGCCCCCATTCCCTGTGACATGCGTGCTCGAAACTGTCCCACAGGCCTGCCCTCCCCTCTCCAGGACACACTGAGTCCCCAGTGGACACGAGCCTGTGGACACCCCTGTGCAGAGGAGGGTTCACTCTGGTGCTAACGCTGGTAGGGTGCCCCACAGGCGGTTGGATTTCCACTTGGTTTGGTAGGGGGAGGACTTCAGGTTCCCCAGCCCCAGAGGCAGTTCTCCAGGCTGAGGGGAAGTGATGGAAGTGAAAACTCAGGTGCCCAGGCATGATGCAAGACTTGGGGAACAGTCATATACGGGTGAGCGCAAAGGACAGTTCCCTCCCTTTAAAAGGTGTATGACTGTTTAAAGCAGAACAAATCACTTGTGTCTGAGGTTTCTGGGACTTCCAGAGGGGTGCATGTGACAAGTATAACACGGAGCACTGTGGGGTGGATGGACCTGTGGTTGCAGATTTCCACATTTGATATGACACAGCACAATCCTAACTTAAGTCCACAAGTTAAGTATGTATATTGTAATCCTAGAGCAATCACTAGAAAAATGTAGAGGTATAGCTAAAATGCCAATAGAGAAATTAAAGTGTTCTAAAAACGTTCAGATGATCTAAAAAAGCAGGAACGGTGAACAAAACTGAGGGTTTAATTAATTAGAAATAAAATATCAGTGGTAACCTTAAATACCATATCAGGAATTACATTAAATGTTAATAGACTAAGCACTCCAATTAGAAGACAGAGATCAACAGAATGAATGAAAAAGGAAAAAGTAAGATGCAATGATATTCTTCTAAAGGAGATGCACATTAATATAAAAACACAGAAGTTTGAAAGAAAATGGATAGAAAAGATTGATACACCATGGAGACAATAGTGAGAAGGCTGTTAACACCAGATGAGACAGAGTTCAGGAGCGAGTATTCCCCGGGATAAAGAAGGGCGTGAGTTCATGGTCAGAGAGGCAGTCCTGAGGAAGACGTAACGGACCTCAAAGTACCTGAAATTAAAGGGAGACAGAGACAGTCCGTGACAAGAGCAGAAATTTCAGCACCACCTCCCCGAGGCCGTCTGAGTAGTGCTGCCAGCACTGGCCCACACGGATGGGTCTCAGGCACTTCACCCGGTTCTTTTGTAACCACACTCTGTTCAGGTGCGCCTGGTACAGCCCCTGAGCTACAGCAGCCACATACCCGGCCGTAAGCACACACTACATTCAGAAGACATTAAATTCTACAGAGATTGCCTCCCTGAGAGCGTCGTCCCCCTCCTGACAGTGAGCAAGAGCTGGGTCATCTGCAGAAGCCACAATTCCTTATGACTGCATCAGGGAGCTGAGTTTACGAAGCAGCTAAGGGATCTGGATGCCCAGGTGATCAACTGAGCAGAGTTGGGACTTGTGACCAGTGTCACCTTTGGCAGAGCTCAGGAGGAAGAGGGTAAGGAGGAACCCACCAACGTGCTAACAATTGTGTAGGGGGACATCTGTCCCCAGACACGGGGAGTTCTGCCTCACGGAGCTCCAGTCTACAGGCCTCCACTGAGGCTTCAAGAAGGCTGGGGCTGGGCAGGGGACCACAAGGGTCTCCTTGGGGGTACGGTGCAGGAAGTGAGCGGCTGCCAACAGAACCCCACCCGCTCCCTGGACTGTCCTCCAGGAGGAAGCAGAAGGCTGAGCCACTTGGAGGGGGCATCAGCTGTGCACCCAAGGCCCCTAGGGGAAGGGGTTGAAGCAAAAGCTTTCTCCCTGAGAGGGGCCCGGGTCGTGCACATATACAGCAGCTCTGCTGCTACTGGGGGCCGAGGGAGAATCGCGGGAATGCTGGGAAGGTCCCACCCCAAGGCCGTGGGTTAGGCTGGATCAGGAGCTGGGTCCCTACGAGGACGGGTACAGTGTGCTATGGGGAGAGGCCAGTCCAGGCCAGGGTGAGAGTGAGGAAATCCTGGCCCCTAGGACCCACGCCCAGCATGGCCGGTGACAGCAACCCCTGCTGAAGGAAGCCACAGCCTGTGGTCACTGAGGGCGATGATGAGAAGGACAAACCCTAACTCAGCCTGTTTTCGGCTAAAGTGTCCCACTCCGCCCCCACCCCTCCCTGCCCCAGCTGACAGCCTCGCTGCTCATGCCCCTTTCTGGGTAATTGTGTTTCCCTGAGGAGCTACTGTTTTTCTACATACAACGTTTGACATAAGAAAAAATTACTAGATACACACATACCCGAAGAAAACAGACCTGCTGACAATGGATTGCCCAGAGATAGAGCAGTCAACAGAGGTGACCCAGGTATTGAACTCTTGATGAGGATTAAAAAGAACAGCGATGGGCGTGTTAGAGGGTCTAGTGGAAGAGATGGATGGCCTGCAGGAATGGGCAAAGAGGGAAGCTGTCCAGGTGAGCCACTGGAAAGGCTAGAAATAAGACACAGTCAGCTCTGGACGGCCTTCCATGGGTTTGCAGCAGAGTGGACAAAGACACTCTGTGAACTTGAAGATACCCAAAATGAAAAATGAATGGGAAAAAGAATTAAAAAGCAGAACAGAACAGAGCACCCAAGGGCCGAGGGACAGTATCCACCAATTTCACAGAAAGGTAATTGAAACCCAGGCAGATGAGAGAGAAAGAACAGGTGAAGAAGTGTTTGAAGAAATAAAGGCCAAGAATTTTCCAAAATGAGTGCAAGGCAAAATGCCCCAGATTCAAGGCTTTCAGAGACCACTAAGTAAGAGAAACGCTCACCACACACATTCCTGGATACGTTATAGTCAAATGCCAAGGACCAAAGAGAAAGAGAAAATCTGAATTGCAGCCAGAGGTGGGAGAGACACACCCAGAGGGAGGAAGCTGATGGCTCCGCACACTTCTCCTTGGAGACTCTGTGGCCAGAGGTCAGGGCCCGGCATCCAAAAGAACCAGGGAGAGGGAGGCCCACCCAACCCAGAATTCTTACCCTGCAAAACCGGCTTCAACAGCAAACGCTTTCCGGGGGGCGGGGTCGACTGCTGGAATGTGGAGGAGGGTCTTCAGGCAGAAGGAATTTGACATCAGCGGAAATTGGGCTCAAAGAAAGGAAGAGCATCAGAATTTGTTAAGATGAGGCTGAATACAAAAATGTTCTCCTGATTTAATTTACCTTAAAAAGTAGGTACCAAAGCAAAAGTTCAAATCAACTTCCTAACCAGCGGAGCGGAGGCATCCAGGGAGGCGGCCGCACCACTCAGGAGCCCCAGGACCTTGGGTCAGTGTGGTTACACCCGCTCACCACTCTCAGGGTTACACTGTTGTTTTGTTTTGTTTTGTTTTTGAAGCAAGAAGAAACAAGCAATGGAATTACTTCAGGAAATGTTCTCTTTTCCCATTTGCAAACCTGCATGGCTTACACATAACAGTCAGTTGTGACCTGTGGGTCGTGTCCACTTGTGTCAGGAGAGGCGGCGGTGGTGAGTGTGGGGATGAGAGGACTGTGCTGCCGCCTCCTGAAGAAGCATTTATCTGATATCCGAATCTAAATTCTTAGAGACACCTGCCGCTCCAGCATTTAGACAGGACCCCCTTCTCGGTGAAGTTGATTTGATTTATCTGGAATTGCTACAGCACTCTTGTTTTCTAGTCCTTGGGACAGACAAGACCGTGAGGCCCGAGCCCCCTACGTGGTAAGCGAGTCCTGGGCAGTTACCGTACAGTCAGCTTTGGTGGAGCCGACCAAGCGCACCCCAGGGGCACCACTGCAGGGCCTGGGAGTGGACGGGTCGGGTGGCGGAGGCAGCAGGAGTAACCAGTGCTCGAGCACGTTCTCATCACTCCCTGTCTCAGCAGGGATGACAGGGTCTTAGAGGAATCAGTGAGCACCAAGACCAGTGGTGACCGGAGAGCCCCAGGTCTCTGACGTGGAGACCACGCCCTCTCTTTGCGCCTGGGGCCTCAGGTGGAATGTGGGCGTGGGGAAAGGCAGTGAGGTGGCCTTGGACCACGGAGAGAAGCGCGTGCAGGAACCTGTGCTGTTCATTAAATCGCATGGTAAATCCGAGTAAGGCTGTGTGGCCACGGATGGTTCTAGATGGTCCTCCCCGCACCCCAGCCCCACAAGAGCCTTTGTGGGAGCTGCAAGGCTGCGCTGCAGGAGGGCTCTGTGGGCTGTGTCCCCCGGGGCTGGTGCTAACTGGAGACTCGGGCTAATAGCTACTGTTTTGCTCCGAAATGAAATGCATCTGGCTTCTCTCTGTGCTTCCCCGGTGTGGTCTGGGGTCCTTCACAGCGTTGTCTACCTCTCTGGTAGCCCCTGATGATGCTGGAGACTTGGAAGCACACTGCTGACTTGCTCACACATTTCCCTCCAGAGGGTCCCTGCGTAAGGCTGGGTTCCATGTGGTGTGCAGCCCGTGCAGCAGCTCGGCAGGTCATTCCCACCCACTGTTGAGGAGCAGATGGTCAGAAGACCCTAACGGTCACAGCAGCCCACTCGCTGCCTGCTGACCACCATGCCTATGGACTGTCTTCTCCTTCACCCACCCTGGAGAAATGAGGCACCCAGTTGTTGTGGTGTGACCCTGGGTGCAGGCCCCGGAGCAGCCAACGAAGGGACCCCAAGCCTTCTGGAGGGGTCCCTTCCTCTGGCCTCTTCAGGGTTGCCTGCGAGAACTTAGTTTTCACCATGACCCTTCATGCTATCCTGTTGTACTTCTTCTCTGTGTTCATC